TTTATTTTTTATTTTTTATTTTTTGATCATAATTTTTATAAACAGAAAAATTTATAGAGTTTTCTGAAAAACCGAAAACTAAGGTTTTTTCGTCATCACAACAACGATTTAAATATGTGCAAACGTTTGTATTGGATACAGAAACTTGGTTGACCACATATTTAACAAAAGATTGTCTAAGGATCATAGAGGTTTGTTTGAATTGAGTACTTTATAACATGATCCAAGAATATTTGGGAGTGCTAAATCATCAAATGTTTTTTTTTTTAATTTAAGGAATGCGTGAAAACTGAGGTGCCAATGTTTGAAAATAAGGATGACGTTGAAAAATTTTTAAAAAAATTCAAGCAGAATTTTGAGAATTTTGGTATTCTTTAATCAATTCTATGGTGGTGGGTTTCTTTATATATTTATTAAAATTTTGCGTTACTATAAAGGTGTCTAATTTTCTTTTGGCATTAGAAATTTGTTTCCCCAATAAACCCATATTCGATAAATCCACAAGATCCGCCACTACCAATCATTTCTCTAATCATGTCTCGCATGTTATTAGATTTCGGCGAAATTATCGTTACACAAGTTTACACATCCTTTTCTGATAGACTATATACTCCCCGAGATAATAAAAATAAATTTTCGATTGATATATATGGTGGTTATGGAGAACGTCACGCTATCTCTAAAGAGCTGACACAAGATGTTAGAGAAATTGTTGGTGCATGTAAAGATATTGCCCAGGTATAAAAGCATTTAAATCTCTGTGATAAAATCTGAATGCACAATTACAATTTTTATTATTGATTTATAGAGAATTTTGGAACGATATGTGGAGATTATTGGGAATCGAATTTCTATGGGCATTCGCAGCCTTTATACAATGAAATCAATCTCTACAAATTTAGCTGATGTGTCATCACAACCCAAAGGTGTTTCAAAAATATGGATGCCATCGTTACAGAATTGGTACTTATTGAGAAAGAAGTCGTGATGCTTTATGGGACTGAGGAGGAAAATAATCTAGATGATCAAGGTAATGAAAAATTTTATTACACAAGAATTCTTACTCTATTTGAAATAATGCAAACTCAAAAAAAAAAAAAAAATTTTTTTTTGACATGCAGACAATAATTCTTTACCATCCACTGAACAGAATTCGGCAGTAAATCAAGACAACTCAGATACCGTACGAGCTCCTTATGCTCATTCAAATTCTTCCTATTCATCCATAAATTCAAATCGCCAAAAACATCAAACCCGTTTTTTGCCAGTTTTACACATCTTACCTCTCATATAGATAAATTATTTTCTGATAGAATTGAGATTTTTGGAATTGTTGAAGTTGGAAAGCCAGGTATTATGATGGGTGTCATAAA